AAAGCTAAATATTTAATGGAGCTAAATTTTTCAAAACCAAAAGTTTGAAGTGTTATGCCCTATCAATCAACAAATAAATTACAAGCCTGATCTTTTAAAAATCAACAAGTTTCAAACGACCTGAAATAAACCAGTTCTTCATGTTGACTTCAAAGGACTTAAAACAAAAAAAAAAGTCAAATATAAAGTGACAAAGTTCTCCCATTTCAAAGAACAAACATATATAATCTGTTTGACTGACATATTAACTGTTCTGCCTGCTTAGAACTCCACACTTGAATCCACCCCTGACCACTAACCTGTTATTTCTGAAGGTACGTTGACTAAAATCATGTGTTCTTTTCATGTTTGTGAACAATGACGCACTCCTTTATAAATGCTTAGCGCAAAATCTTTTTAATCAGCTTTCATAAAGCCGAGGAAATGCCCTAAAATTCAAGGATATTTGTGGGATGAGTTTGCACGAGCGTGCAAGGGCATTTCAGAGTTATGTTAAAGGCATAAAACGACAATTAAAAGCAGGGTTGGCAGCAAATGCAGGCGGAATCGAGGAACACAAGAGGATTCTTGTTCCTGCGCTATTGGCAAGCTGGCAACAGGAAATGGCTCTTGTTACGGGCTTATTGTAGCAGTTTCTTGCAGGTCAACTCAAATAATGTTCAACTTTACATGTCCCAAGGAGAGCAATTAGTTTTATGCTAGAGGTGCACAAGGACATAACAAATCCAACGCGCGAAAACGTAATGAATTCTTGAATGTAAAAATGAGGTGATCCATGAAAATGTCAAGCAACAAATTACCGGCCCTAAAATTGTCCCAACTGTGCCAATGTGATCCTGCAGGCCAGTTTTAAGGAGCAGTTCGAACGAGCTGATTAGTCACCTGACAGATTACCACACATTCAAAATCTCCAACTGTAACAGCGCTCATTTGAATAAGCATTGGTGTTTTTAAGGTCCCATTTTTGATATAACATCTCACAAGAGCAATCTTTTGTCTAAACGTTTTTACCTCATATGGCTCATATGTTTTTACAACCAGTATTAGTCTGATTTGGTGACTAAAATAAGACTTTTTTAATGTTTCGTTTTCTTTGTCACTATTCGCAACAGCTAGTGCTGTCAAACATCAAGAACTAAAACACTGCTGTGATTGATTGCCTTTTTGTGTTCTACACTAATAGTCTCAACATGTTTTGCACGCCCGAATATGACAAGCTCATTTGATCGCTCAAATAAGCTCATTTTATCGCCTGTAAAATCATTTGAAGTACATTGCATGAGCTTCAACTGTTATGAGTGAGTTGGGTTAAAAAAAGTCTGAGACATAACCTGGAAAGACTAAATCTACCTTTTTATGAGAGGCTGCACTTTTTTGCACACATACAGTTGAATAAATTATTCAAAACCTGTATATATTTTTTGGGGAGGAGGTTTCGGCTGTTTTGTTCAGGATGGTGAGATGGTGCAATACTAGCACAGTGTTGAATGCATACACAAAGAACATTTGTTTTCTTTACTCTACTTTGTCTAACAAGAACAAAATACTACAGATGAGGCTGAAAGAGAGAATATTTTGGTAAGCTCAGTGAGGCAAAATGAAGAGAACCACAACATTTTTTGTTTAACTTACAGTGTAAATTACATTGGAATGATACATTTGAAGCTAACGTACATTGTACGCATTGGGTCCAACATGCTCTTTTCATTAGGAGTGTCCTGATACCAGTTTTTCCTCAAACCAAGTAGGTGTACAAGTACTGGCCAATGCCAAGTACTAATGGAGTTAGAACTTAAAAATTACACAATGACTTTGAAAGCACAACTTTATTTATAACACAGCCCCTCTGACTGTATCAAATCAATAGTGGTGGGCACAGCTAACCAAAAAAAATTGAAGGTAGGTGAGATTATCTTTGGCAAACCAACCAATCCACATCAAAGTTATAGCTCTGTCTAACCCCTGATACTTCCTGTGTACCCCTTTCAGAATAAAAACATTTCTTTGATCAAGTTTGGATTTTTACAAAAACTGCCAGTCAAAAAAAAATAAAATAAAAAAACAAAACAAAAAAAAATAAAAAACAAAAAATAAAAAAAACATGACTTTATTTACCTTATGGTATAAGTAGTATTTTTTTGCATTGTTAAAAAAATGCTAAATGTTTTTTTTTTGTGATGCTCTTTATTTGAAATTTAACTGTTAAAGATGCTACATGCACACATAAATACCTGTCACGTAATGTACGACTTGTAAAAGGGGAAAGTTGTTCCCTTTCAGTCAATTCACTCGGTACAACATCATGTATGGGAACCACGCCCCTGCGTGTCCTGGCTGAAGCCACCTCTAATCACGCCTTTAGGCAGGTGACGTGATGACGACAGATGTCAGGCTCCGCCTGCACATATAGCCTACATACTTTCGCATCACAGTCACTCCTCAGTTCAGTAACTGCTCTTCACCGAGCTCAGCTGTGTAGCGGGGCCACCATGTGTTGTAC